ACTATCTCCACTGTTTCACATATCATTCCCTTTTCACTCCACTCCAATCTAGTTTCCCTTCCCACTATTCTGAAACTCCCCTCATCAAGGTCCCCAGTGAGTTCCATGTCATCAAATCTAAGACTTTTCTGCATTAAACTGCTCAGTCTATCCACAGTACTTGGCACAGTTGAGCATTATTTTCATGATATACTACCCTTTCTTAAATTCCAAGACACCACATTCCTCTTAACCTTTAAACATTGAAATACTCACAAGGTATAATCTTAACCTTTCTTCTCTTTTTCATCCACAATCCCTAGCTATGTTCACTTAGACTCATAGGTTTAAAAATATAATTAATTTTTTAGTTGTAGTTGGACACAATACCTTTATTTTATTTATTTATTTTTATGTGGTGCTGAGGATTGAACCCAGGACCTCGCACATGCTAGATGAGTGCTCTACCGCTGAGCCACAACCCTAGCCCAATACACACTATTTGCTAAGTCTTTAAAATTGACATCTATATCTCTGACCTCTGTTCTGAGATCTAGACTCTATATCCAATTGCCTACTAAGTTTCTCCCACTTTGATACCTATTAGCATTTTAAATTTAAAATGTTCAAAAAAGATCTCTTGATTCCCCTTCCTCAAACCCTCCCCCCTCATAGTCCACCCACTATCTTTCAATAAATGGCACCACCCTCCACCTAGCAATAACTTAAGCCAAGTCTAAGTGTTATCTTTGAGTGTTACATTTTCCTTATCCTCACATCCAATCCTTTTATAAATATTATCCATTTGACTCCCAAATATGCTTTGTCTCCATCCATTTCTTTTTATTTCTACTATCATCTTCTAAATTCAAATTACCCATTCATTGTCTCTTACCTAGACTATTGATTGCACCAGGCTTCTAATAGCTGAGAATCATATTTTTAAAATAGGTATTAGACTGGGTCACAAGCTTATTCTAAAATTCTAATGAGCGAATAAAGGGATGATATTAGCCCTGACTATTGTGAAGAAAGAAAGTTGGTAAAACTAGAAAGAGCATTGAATTTGCAGGTTATCAAGATTTATGTTGAACTGAAGGTATAGCTCAGTGGTAGAGCACTTGCCTTTTACGCAGAAGGCTTTGGGTTTGACAAAAAAAAAAAAAAGACATGAGAAAAACTACAATTATATCCATATCACACAGCATATATAAAAATAAACTCCCCATAGAGTAGATTTGATGTGAAAAGCAAAACTACAGAATTTTTAGAAAAAGATAAAGGAGATTTTGCTGGGCATAGTGGCACATGCCTGTAATCCCAGCAACTTGGGATGCTGAGACAGGAGGATCTAAAATTCAAGACTAGCTTTGGCAACTTATTGAGACCTTGTTTCAAAATAAACAATAAAAAGGGTTGGGGATGTATCACAGTGGTTAGGTGTCCCTGGGTTTAATCTCAGTACTGGGGGCGGGGGGGAAGGAGCCTATTACATTGGTATAGGGAAAGATCTCATCAATAAGACACAAAAAGCATAATTTATTTTAAAAGGACTTAAATTTTTTAAATATTTATTTTTTAGTTGTAGTTAGAAAAAATATCTTTATTTTATTGATTTATATGTGGTGCTGAGGATCGAACTCAGGACCCTGCATGTGCTAGGCAAAGCGATCTACCGTTGATCACAACCCCAACCCCGGACTTAAAATTTTTCTATATGACAAAGGACAATGTAAATACTTTATTGAAATTTTTAATACTGAGATATAAAAAAACAAGAATGATTGTATAATGCATACACTAGTACATTCATTTAATTGAATAAATACCTGTGTCTTATTGAAAAGTTTAAAAAGCAGATTGAGAAATGATATATATGCCATTGCTTCTTTTTAAAAAGTACCTGTCTGTATAAACAATAGAAAAGGTATGGAAGGAGGGAGACAGAAGAATATTTTATTTTACTTTAGACACTTTGGAATTGTGTGAATTGTCAAAATGAATACAAATAATTTGTTATTTAAATGCTTGAAATAAAAACAAACAAATGAATACAAAGTCAAGCAAAACAAAAATTCTGCCATATACTGTTTTAACTGATAAAGGAAGGTGTATATGGCACTCCCAATATCATTACTTCATATCATCCATCCACTACTACCCGCTCCTCACTATGTTGCCCAAGGTGGTCTCAAACTCTCCTACCTCATACCTCAGCCTTCCTGGTAACTGAGCCAATAAAATGTGCCACCATGCCTGGCTTTGCCCCAGACCAAATATCAAAACAAATCAATATCTGAGGGGAAAAAAAAAAGGGTAGGGAAGGCACAGAGTGTTTCAAGGCAATAAAGCCTTTCTTAGGGGCTGGGGTTGTAGCTCAGTGTTAGAGCGCTTGCCTAGCATGTGTGAGGCACTGGGTTCCAACCTCAGCACCACATAAAAATAAATAAATAAATAAAGATATTATGTCTGGCTACAACTGAAAAAAATATTTAAAATAAGGCTTTTGGGGCTGGGGATATAGCTCGGTTGATAGAGTGCTTGCCTTGCATGCACAAGGCCATGGGTTCCCAGCACCACACACACACACACACACACACTCACACAGTATTAAAATAAAGCTTTTCCTAGCTGACTTGTAAAATAGGGGGTTCAAAGAAGTTTGGAAAATAATATATAACTGAAATATCTACAAATATTAATCTAAATACACATCTTTGGTTATCAGCTCTGGGGAAGGTTACAAAAAGGAGAAAAGGACTAGTAACCTCTTGGGCTGGGGTTGTAGCTCAGTTGTAGAGTGCTTAATTAGCATGTGTGAGGCACTAGGTTAGATTCGAAGCACTATATATAAATAAATAAAATAAAGGTCCATCCACAACTAAAAAAAAAATTTAAAAAAAAGATTAGGGGGATTGAGGCTGTGGCTCAGTGGTAGAGCACTTGCCTAGCATGTGTGAGGCACTGGGTTCGATCCTTCACACCATGTAAAAATGACACAAATAAAATAAAAGCATGCTGTCTATCTACAACTACAAAAAAGTTAATACAAATAAAGAATTATTGTTAAAACAAAGATTAGGGGCTGGGATTGTGGCTCAGTGGCAGAGTGCTTGCCTCACATGTGTGAGGCACTGGGGTTTGATCCTCAGCACCACATAAAAATAAGTAAATAAAATAAAGGTATTGTGTCCATCTACGACTAAAAAAATTTTTTAAAGTTTTTTAAAAAAGAGATTAGTACCCTCTTTATCCATCCATGAAATGTTTGACTGTTATTAGTATACATTAATTTTTATAATTTAAAGTAATAACTAATATTTAAATAAAATTATTAATAAAACCAAGTTATTTCATATTCCACAAATGAAAAGTAGAGAAGGAAGAAAGGCAACTTTTTATTACAGTGACAGCACAGGTTCTAGAATCAGAGCTCTGAGTTAAAAAAACAAAAAACCTTACTGCACCGCTTTACCAGCTGTGTGACTTTGGGTAAGAGTCTAAATCTAGTTTTACTGATCTGTAAATTGGGAATCATAACAGCATCTATCTGTCTGATAGAAATGTGCCCTGAACACAGGACCTGGAGAAAATGATAGGGTGAGTTTAGGGAGGGCAACGGTTGAGTTAGAAATGCTAAATTTTCCAACTTTCTTAAACACTCAGAAAGCAGTTTATGTGAGGTCAAAAGTGGGGTCTCTAGTCACTAAGATGAAGGCAGGGCTGGGTCACTGACCTAAGGACCAGAGAGATCAGCTGCTATTCCTTGCACACCAAGCGCTGGTCTGAGTGTCTCTGAAAAGGGAGCTACACATCCAGATGGATGAAAGGGCAAACTCTTGAAGTTCTAGAGGATGGACAATCGGAGGGTTCCTTTTTCTTTTCACCGGCAACCAGGGGAAAACCTGGGTAGGAAGTTCCCCAACTGCCAAAAATTAACGCCCCTTGCTCGGCGCGGTGGCCCAGCCCAAAGACTGAGGCAGGAGGGTAGCAAGTTCAAGACCAGTCTCAGAAACTTTGCCAGCCCTGTCTCAAAATAAAAAATAAAAAGGGCTGGGGATGAGATCAATAGTAAAGCACCCTGGGTTTAATCCCCAGTACACCCCCCCCCAAAAAAAGAACGAAACAAAAAACAAAAGCCCCTTGTGCCACCTCAACATCATCACATCAACTGACCATCTCAGCACTTCCCTTCTCCCATCGATGTCCCTCTGGGGGTTTCCTTCCACTTAGTTCAGACTTCCTTCCTCTGTCCAAGTGAGTCACTTGTGTCACAGGGTCCCCACCTGTTAATCTCGCTTCTTCTCTACCTCACATTCCCTTTCTCTCCTCAAATTCTCGTCCTTGGCCTCAGATTTCTCTGCTACTTCAGTTCCTCCAATTCCGCCTCAATGAAATCCCTTCTGCCTCAATTTCCCTCTCTGCGCCTCAGGGACTGCTCCTCGGCGGTTTCCTCTTTGCTGCCCCAGGCTCCGAGGGGGCCCCGCCTCAGTTTTCTCCTCCCAGCCACTGACCACACGCTCCCGGTCCGCGCCCTCCCAGCCTAACCCTACCCGGCTGCTCCAGGGTCAACGCCCCCAGGCGGCGGATGCTCTCCTCATCCAGATCCCACTGCTCCGCCATTCCCGCCTGCCGCTCACCTGCCGCCGCCCGCGAGATCTCCCCGCCCACGCCAGACCCCGCCCCTCGAGCTGCCCCGACCACCTCCCGGCCCCGCCCCCCGCGCGTGATGCGGCTCTCCCGGGGGCCGTTAGTGCCTGGGTCACGCGGCCGTCCGCCCTCTCGAGGAGTCGCGACCATGGTACGGAGCCCATCCTGGCGGGGGCGCCAAAACCACTAAACTGGCGAATGGGAGAAGCTGGGGCCCAGATTAGATCTGGGACGCTGGGATTCGAGGGTGGTCCGGGCTTTGAAAGATTTTGGGGGAACTAGCTCTGAGGAATTGGAAGGGTGCGCTGCCTTGAGGAATGAAATGTTCTAGATCTCAGGATCTGGGGGATTTCAGTTCTGAGGGGATGGGAATGTGCCTCTTCGTAGGGGTGCAGGTCTTAATATTTCAGCCCCCGCAGTGCTGACTCTTGGAGCCAGGCGCCGTTGGGTGTGAATGCGGGGGTCCAGATCTGAAGGACTGGGGGAGCAGGGACAGACTTCTGAGGCATGATGGGGAGATCCCCGAAATGGAAAGTTGGGAGACTTGGCTCTGAGGGAGTTCAGGTCCTGTCTTTAGAGAATGAGATGGTTTCAGCTCTAGAACTTGGTTTAAAAAGAGCTCCTTTGTGGGAGAGGGATCCGTATGCTCCTCGGGGTGTATGGGGATTACTATTTTAAGGCTGCCCCGTTTCCTGCAAACAGTCTGGGAAGAATCCATTTGTCCTTCGAGAGCCACAGGCTCCCCAGGCTTACCTGTGACTGAGGGCACACCAACCCCTTAGCAGACTTTGGGGAAGAATGCTCTGGAAAGAACCACCACACCCTTAGCGTCTACCCTCGCACTAGGGGGCACTTCTTGGGAGCCTTGCTGTGAATGGGATGTGTTTAAGGAAACAAACTCTTGGGCAAAGACCCTCTTGTCATATCCTATCCTTAATAAAAAAAAGAGGAGCTGAGTCCAGAACTGGAGCTTACCTTCAAGGAGCAGGTTTTCTTTAGTATCCAAATTCTGCAGACTCTTAAGTACCTTCATTGAGCTCTCAACCAGTTAGTCACCTTTAAGAACAGAAAGCAAAATCTGGAGTCCTTACATATATATGCTCATACACAGTAGTCACATACCATTTCCCATATCCCCAACCCCAACCTCCCCAGCCCTAGGCAACCACTAATCTACTTTCCTTCTTTATAAATTTGACTCTTCTTCACATTGCATGAAATGGAATCATATAATATGTGATCTTTTGTATTTGGCTTCTTTCACTGAGCATAATGTTTCAAGATTCATGCATATTGTAACATGTATCAGTACTTTATTTCTTTGAATTAACAACAATGGTCTATTGTATGGTTATAGAACCTTCATCAATTGATGAACAAATTCAACTGATCATAAATATAAAGGTTTATTTCTGGACTACCAATTCTATTCCATATACCTGTATGGATATTCTTATATTGGTCGTACAGTTTTGGTTACTCTACATTTATATTAAATTTTAAAAGTGGAAGTAGGAATCCTCAAACTTGGTTTTTCTTTTTCAAGATTGTTTTGGTTATTCTGGGTCCCTTGTATTTCTACATGAATTTAATGTCAGCTTGTCACGTTTTGTAAAAAAGACAGTTGGGGTTTTCATAGGGATTGTTTAGTAAGGATACTGCCCAGATCAATGGGGATAGTATTACTATCTTAACAACATTGAATCTTTGAATCCATAAACAAGACTACTTATGTAGGTTGTTTAAAATTTCAACAATTTTTAAATGTTTTCAAGTTACCAGTATTATACTTATTTTGTTAAACTCCTAAATATTTTGTTCTTGTGGATGGTGTTGTAATGTAATTAATTTTTTTAATTTAATCTTTGAATTGTTCATTGCTATGGTATAAAAATATAATTGACTTTTTATAATATTGATCTATATCCTTCAACCTTCCTAGGCTCATAATAGTTTTTTACTCAATTCCTTAGGATTTTCTGTATGTAAGATCAGCAAAGAGAAATAGTTTAATTCGGGCTGTAGCTGTAGCTCAGTGGCAGAGCACTTGCCTTGCATGTGTGAGACACTGGGTTCAATCCTCAGCACCACATAAAAATAAACAAAAGAAAGGCATGCTGTCCATCTATAACTACAAAAAAAAAAAAAAAAAAAAAAGAAAAAGAAAAGAAAGAAAGAAATAGTATAATTCCTTCCTTTCCAATCAGGATGCTTTTTTATTTTTATTTTTTTCTTTTATAGCTGTATTTTCATTCTTCCTTTAGGAGGAGACTGGCATGTCTCATGAATCCGCAGAAGATTTGTTTCATTTCAATGTCGGAGGATGGCATTTCTCAGTCCCCAGAAGCAAACTCTCTCAGTTTCCAGACTCCTTGCTGTGGAAAGAGGCTTCAGCCTTGACCTCTTCAGAAAACCAGAGGCTTTTCATCGACAGAGATGGTTCCACATTTAGGCATGTACACTATTACCTCTACACCTCCAAGCTCTCCTTCTCCAGTTGTGCAGAACTGAACTTGCTCTATGAGCAAGCACTGGGTTTGCAGCTGATGCCTTTGCTGCAGGTAAGATGTTCTTTTCAAAGAGCGGTGATTAGTAACATAGGCATCACTATTATTAAGTGTGTGTCCTTTTAGATATTGGTTGCTGAGATGACCCACATTGTGAGTTAAAGGAATGAACAATACAATAAAATTGCCTGATTTTGTTGTTGCTTTGTTTTTGGCATAGTACCTGGGATTGAACCCAGGGCCTCCCACATGCTAAGGGAAGCATTCTACCATTGAGCTACAGCCCCAGCCTTTTTTTATGTTGATACATGGTCTAAGATGCCCAGACTGGCTTTGAATTTGTGATCCTCCTGCCTTAATTGGGGATTATGAGTGTGCATCATCACATCCATAAAATATCATGATTTTAACAAATAAGATCATCCTGACTCTGCCTTATCTATACCAGCAGCTGCCATGGACCCAGGATAGGATTTACTATTTACTGAGAGGATGCCTTTGGCTCTCAAAAATCCTGTCAATCTGCTTGTTTTTGTTGTTGACTTTTAAAAGGAGAAAACTTTAGAAATTGAACAACTTGCTCTATACACCATATCTGAGATTTAAAATCTAAAAGATTCATCAAGAATATTACTTCTTGTCAGGTATGGGGGCACATGTCTGTAATCCCATTGATTCGGAAGGCTGAGACAGAAGGAGCACAAGTTTGAGGCCAGCCTTAGCAAATTAGTGAGGCCCTAAGCAACTTTGCAAGATAAATTATCTCAAAATTAAAAATAGAAAGGGCTGCAAATGTAGCTTATTGGTAAAGCACCCCTGGGTTAAATCCCTAGTACCAAAAAAAAAGAAGAAGAAGAAAAAGAAAAAGATATTACTTCTCATTGGGTGTAGTGGCACACACCTATAGTTCCAGCTACTTGGGAGGCTGAAGCTGGAGGATCACTTGAGCACACAAGTTTTGAGACCAGCCTAGGCAACATAGCACTAACTCATCTCAAAAAAAGAAAGAGAGAGAGAGAGAGAGAGAGAGAGAGAGAGAGAGAGAGAGAGAGAGAGAGAGAGAGAGAGGGGGAAAGAAAGAAAGAAAGAAAGAAAGAAAGAAAGAAAGAAAGAAAGGCGGGGGTGTGGTGTGGGGTGGAGGGAAGAAAAGAAAAAGAATATTACATCCTACTGTGCCTTCTAAGTACACAGGCAAAGTAAAAAGTTCTTCAAACACAGAATTTTTCCTTTGCCTTCACTTTCTGTTTTCTAAGAAACAACTTCTCTTATTTTAAGAGCTTTAAATACCTTTACTTATAAACCATTAAAGTATTAATAAAAACATTATCTTCTTTTTTAAGTTTTCTTCAAACCACAGAAATCATTTCTGCGACTGATCTTCAGTAGTTTATTCTGTAGTTTTGGAACCAGAATATTTTCTTTTAACCTGGAAGAACTAAATATTATGACTAAGAAGGCCCATTGGCCATACTCCGGATTAATCACACTGTCTGAAGAATAGTGTTGTTTACTGCATCTCCACAAGTGCTAACACAACAAGCTGCAGTACAACTCTGTGCACTGCCAATGAGGCCTCCCTAACATGGCTTAGAAGAAAATTGAGACAGACCATGCATTGTCTGGGTCATAGAAGAATGCAAACATTTCATAGTTCATTTGTTTATGGATGCTTCTTCCTAAATAATTCAGTGTTTTATCTCAAAAGTTATTATACAGGATTGGGGTTGTGGCTCAGTGGTAGAGCACTTGCCTCGCATGCGTGAGGTACTGGGTTCGATCCTCAGCACCATTCAAAAATAAATAAAAATAAAATAAAGATATTGTGTCCATCTACAACTAAAAAAAGATTTTTTAAAAAGTTGTTATACATCTGGAAATCAAAAACCTTTAATGAGTCACTGCACATGCAGTTCTTGTGGATAGATCCGCCATTTTGCTCTCAGAGACACCCCTTGGAGAGCCCGCCATTTCTTCCTTCGAGGGTGGAGAGAGGAATTTTGTTGTCACAGAATAAAAGGAGGTTATCCATAATTGACTTGAAGCAGCAAACAGTGAAACACTGAGCTCTTCAGCTCCACCTTTCTTGCTCCAAGAATTGGAAAACCAAAAGGTTTTGATGTTTTGTGTGAACCCAAATTAGAAACTAAGATGAACATCACCAAAGGAGGTCTGGTGAAGTTTTCAGCAAATTCTAACTCATTCTGTATGGAGCTTTCAAAGAAACTTTCTGAACAGCTGGGGTTGGTGATAGGCAAAGTGCAGGTTTACCAGGAAACTAGCCAAGAAACAAGAGTACAGATTCAGGAGTTGTGAGGGGGAAAGATGTTTTCATCATCCAGACTGTCTCAAACAGTAGGAGATGAGGAAAAGGCTCCATCATCTCTAAATTATTGGCTTCCAACATGTACAAAGCTGGTGTAACCCGCCTCATTACTATGGATTTTTACCAGAAAGAAATTCAGGTTTCTTTTAATATTCCAATGGATAATTTAAGATCATCTCCCTTCCTAGTACAGTACATTCAGGAAGAGGTGAGCCAGTTTGAACTTTTTTAATTTTAATATTCTGGTGAAGGTATAGTTCCATTTCTTTGAGCTGTCCCTAAAGAATTAAAATTGGATGTATCCTGACCTAAAAAAAAAAATGAATTAAAATTTGAATATCAAGAAGGAGAAGGAGAAGGAGAAGGACTTTAACTTACTCCAGAGCAGGTTGTAATATGATTTCTTTCTTTTGATTTTTTTCAAGCTACCCAGTTATGTTTAATTTTTTTTCAATTGCTTCAGAAATTGAGAATTAAAATTGCTTGCAAGTCAGTTCAAAGGCACTTAAATGGCCTGATATGTCAGGATCGTTAATGGCCCTATGCCAGTGTACCATTTTGTGGGGAAAAGGAAGGAGTAAACTTGTTCATTGTAGAAAATCAAAGCAATTAAGACAATTTTTTTTGAAAGAACGATTTTCTTTTCTTTTAATGCAAGCATATTATGCAAATTGGTGTTTGTTTGCTGGGGATCCAGTTCAGACCCAGCACATTCTAGGCAAGTGCTCTGAGTTACATCCCCAGACCTTTATATTTCTCTGAGGTAGGGTCTCACTAAACTTGTGATAAGTTTCGGGCTGGCCTCAAACTTGTGATTCTTCTGCTTCAGTGTCCTAGGTAGTTGGGATTGCAGGTATGTGCCCACCAAGCCCAAATAGTTAACTCCTTCAACTCCTTTGTTGTCCTCACTTCACAAATTGAAATAAAATACATTTGGAAAACAACTTCTAAATGGGAAGCAACAACTCAGAGGCCAATAAGTTGAACAGATTCCTAAGTTCCAAGATGTGAGAACAGTAGAATTTGAAGAATTGTATGGATCTGCTTCTTAAAACAGTCTGTGAAACAAGTGCTTATGCTTGAAAATGGTGTTTTCAAAGAAATAAACATTTGGGCAACCAAGCTGAAGTGATATTTATTCACTGAAGCATAGTGTAAATACAGCTGGGAACCGACAGATGCCTCAAGTAAGTCAACAACCTCACACATTTCCACTACTTTCCCCATGCTAAAGCCTATCCAGATACTCAGATTTTTGCCCAATTGAACAAACACTTTGCTTGGAGAAAATGGATTTTGCCAATCCTTAGTCTGAAGACCCTTGTCAGCCAGCCCCACTTAATGCATTCCGCCAGGATTTATGAAGAACATTCTGGGTTCCAGGCATTATTCATATGGGCTTTAAGAAAAACAAGGGATGATACAATAAAAATATAATGTGAGCCATGTACGTAAGTGCCACATATTTTTTTTTTAAGTGATAAGGTCTCATTATGTCACCTATGCAGACTTGGAACTCCTAGACTCAAGTGATCTTCCTGACTCATCCTTCTAAGAAGCTGGGATTATAGGCATGCATCACTGTACCCAGTTTCATGTGTTATTTAAAATTTTCTAATAACCATATTTTAAAAAGTAAAAAGACACAGGAGAATTTTTGCTAATTTATTTTAATTAGGTATATATGGCAGCAGATGCATTTTGATTCATTGTGCACAGTTGCAGCACAATTTTTTCATTTCTCTGGTTGTACATGATGTAGCATCCCACCATGTGTGCAGTCATACATGTACCTAGGGTAATGATGTCCATCTCATTCTAGTATCTTTCCTGCCCCGATACCTCCTCCCCACCCCCTCCCTTCCCTTTGCCCCATCAAAGTTCCTCCATTTTTCCCATGCCCCCCCATTATGGATTGGCATCAGCTTATCAGAGAGAACATTCAGCCTTTGGTTTTTTGGAATTGGCTTACTTCACTTAACAGGATATTCCCCAACTCCATCCATTTACCTGCAAATGCCATAATTTTATTCTCTTTTAATTCTGAGTAATATTCCATTGTGTATATACACCACAGTTTCTTTATCCATTCATCTATTGAAGAGCATCTAGGTTGCTTCCACAGTTTAGCAATTGTGAATTGAGCTGCTATAAACATTCATGTGGCTATGTCACTATAGTATGCTGATTTTAAGTCCTTTGGGCACAGACTAAGGAATGGAATAGCTGGGTCAAATGGTGGTTCCATTCCAAGTTTTCCAAGGAATCTCCATACTGCTTTCCAGATTGGTTGCACCAATTTACAGTCCCACCAGCAATGTATAAGTGTGCCTTTTCCCCCACATCCTCACCAACATTTATTATTGTCCGTATTCTTGATAACAGCCATTCTGACTGGTGTGATATATTATCTTTACAATACTTTTGATTTGCATTTCTCTAATTACTAGAGATGTTGAACATTTTTTCATATATTTGTTGATTGAATGTATGTCTCCTTTTGAGAAGTGTATGTTCAGCTCCTTAGCCCATTTATTGATTGGGCTGTTTGGTTTTTTTGGTGTTAAGTTTTTTGAGTTCTTTATATATCCTGGAGGTTAGTGCTCTATCTAATACGTGTGTGGCAAAAATTTGCTCCCAAAATGTAGACACTTTCTTTACATCATTGATTGTTTCTTTTGCTGAGAAGAAGCTTTTTAGTTTGAGTTCATCCCATTTGTTAATTCTTGAT